TAGGCCTGCAAGAGTACCCATGTTGTGGCACAGTGGATCGTTGTCAAATGCTTGGGCAACCTCTTCGTCTCGACAGATGGTAGACGAGTCGAGCTTCTGCATCTTTTGCATGTGCGGCAGTACCATGGCTGCTACCCGGCCGAGCATGACCGTGATTCGAAACGGCTGGGCTTTGGGATGCAGGGCCACAAACGGGGCCTCGACGATGAACCCTCGAATCTTGCTCAAGATGTCCTTGGGCCCCGCGGCGGCATAATACAAGGTTTCTTGGCCTCCCATGCTGTGGCCCATCATAAACAATGGCAGGTGCTGGTCGCTTTGCTGCGACAATGTATGGCGGACGAAGAAGCTTATATCGTCCATGACCTGCTGTGTCCCACCGCACTTGCCACGGTCTTGAGGTAGTAGCGCGCTTCTTCCCCATCCTCTCTGGTCAAAGGTGTAAGTGATTATGCCACTATGGGCCAGGGTCGGGAACAAAGGGCCATGGAAGTTGCAGTGGTCACTGAATCCGTGGAGGAATACGAGCCGTGCCTTGACAGGTATAGATGCGACGGGTCTCCATGTCTTGGTATAAAGCTCCTGACCGTCTGGAGTTACAAGCGATCCTTCTTCTGTTGTGTACGAATTGCCCATTGTCAGAGTCTGAGCCTGCAAGCTGCTGTCGGCTTCTGTTACCTCCACGTGCCAATGCTACCTCGGCCGGTGTAACCTGAACCAGATCTGAGCGAGATTTTGGCTGCAGAAGAAACTACGAGGCAGTAGTTCTTTTAGTATTACGAATTTTTGCGTGGTCCAAGTCTTGGCACCCACTTGCTGCCTGTTTGTCCACAGCTAACTTACATCACGTGTCGAAGGTTGCTATGTAGACTAACGATTGTTAGCACCGCACATAATACAACAAGCTTCTTCCGTCCCTGACTTCTCCTTAACATGGACACGTTTACACTCCGCGTAGAGATGCAGCGCATGAAGCAGCAGTTGGCAGATCTTCAGTCCTCGCACGACCCTTTTCTCCTCCACCTTCGCGCTTCGAGGGCTGAACTTTACAACCTTGAGAACCGCTACTTGACACACAAAGCCAATTCTTGTTCGTGCAACAATCAAGCCATCCAGGAAAAACTGGACCGTCTCGAAGAATTCACAAAGGACGGGATTTCAGGCATTGCCAACCAGCTGAAGAAGCTCAACGAGAATATGGTCCAACTTCAGAAATCGTTAGATTCGTTGACCATGAACTTGATGACTCCTGCGGCAAGTGAGGGCATTGACGAGAACTATTTCAACAACCAAGCGTTTGACGCTGCTTGTAAGGATGGCCCCCAACCTGCTGCTGTGTCCTCCCACATGGGAAGTTCAGTTGGAAGTGGAGAAACCATGATTCAGAAGCAGAAGATGCCAGCCTCGGGATCGTTCAATGATGGCGCAGATACTCAGGCCGACGTGATGAGTGAACTTGCAGCTCTGAACCAGAGGATGGCAGCGCTTGACCACGGACTGAAGCAACGCCGTCAGGAGATTCAACAGCACTTTTTGAAGTCTGGAGCACTCTAATATTGTAGCCGAGGCTTAATATGACAATTCTCTCTACAATTTCCTACCTACCGCCTTTCTACCTCTCCAAACGTTGCCGAGGCGCACACACACACACATGTTTGCTGACAATTAGAATGTACTCTTGGGGGAGGATCTCCAAGACTTTCGATCCCCCAAACTGATAATGACGTTAACATGCATTCGGGCCCGAGAGAGAACTTTAAAAGCGCCTTCATGCCTCAATCAGCCCTAAGATCAGAGAGGTACCGCCATGCCTTCCCACTACTCTGACCACTCCCCGCCTCGCTTGTCTCACCATCGCTCTTCGCGCCGACCGTACTCAGACGACTACGACGACTATAGCACCCATCGGTCGCACCACGGCGACCACGACCATGGCAGACGACCACGAAAAGTCGACTACGATGCCAGCGACGAAGACGACGAATACACCATCCGCAAACCCCGCCATGCCGACGAAGCAAAACGGGAGCCACCAACCACCAAAATCCCACCCCCACCCATTCCCAGCGCAGCCGACAAACTCCCTCGCGTAAATGGCGATAGCGAGCGGCGCGAACCTCGGGAGCCCCACGACCCCCGGGAACGACGTCAGCGCGACTACGACCGTAACCGCCGGTACCCCCGCCCCCCGCATCCCGACCCCAACGACGACAACGATTCAAGCGACTACCGCCCGCGAGCGCGTGCTCACGGAACTTCACGGCGCGGCTACAACGACCGGAGCCTTGATCGGGGCTACCGCACCGAAGCACCCCGTCGTAGACAATACCTTGACGACCACGACCGCGGGTATCGAACCGATCACCGCAGCCATCGTGACCGTGACCGTGACCGTGACCGCGACCGCGATGGAAGAAGACGTGAGGTCCGTCGCGAGGATTATAGGGACCCGTATGCGTCAGATCGGTATGCGCAGCCTACTAGCAGGGCTCGTCAGGCGCATGCGGCTAGAGAGGCGGCGAGGCATCATAAAGTCGATATGAACCAGGTATGGGTCCAGGGTCAGAAACATTGGAAGACGGTCGAGCCGATCGCCAAGCCGGTGCTTAGTGCACTGGCGAAGAAGTATCTTGCTGAGTGAGTGAGATCAAAGGGGTGGTTTTTTGGTTATATGTAAGCTCTGGGGGTCGTTGCGGGCGGTAGACATATATCTATACATCGATATAAATGTGTTCATTTTGAAGTCCTAAGGGTGTAAGTGGGTTCGTAAAAGTGCGTCTGGCTCTACATTAAGCTACACAACCGCAAAAGCGCTGGCATAGCTGACGCTGCTGTCCCGTACCGATGAGACTTCTGAACTGCGTTCATACCGCACAAAGCGAAAAGTACCGCTTTGCAAGGTTTCCATTGCTGCCATGATGACGCTGATGGGATGTCTCCCGCAGACAGTGTTTCCAGTGTCTTTTCATGGCATCAGTTCTGCATGCAGGGATTCCAAGACTAGGGATACACCTTACCTTTCAACACGTCAACCCATTTGCTGAGCTTCCCGCTCTCGCAGGCTTCCATGCATTCTTCATCTACAGCTTTGATGCTCTCGTGGATGGGTGGGTCAATGGGTTTGTGTGAGCTGGAGGTGAGATTTTGTGTTTTTCCACTCGACGGACGGTAATAAGTGTAATCGAATCGTAGACCCCAGTGACAGAAATCAGAGGAGACGACAAAGGCCGTAGAAGGATCGGAAAGGTAGGGTGCAAGAAGCTTGCCGAGTTCCACCTCTGTTGAGGAAGATGTGTTGCCCACCATGATTGGAACAAGCAATGGAAACTTGGAGGAATCGTTGCCGAATGTTCTGTTGTTAGTCAGCCGAGTACTTTAAAGTCTGATTCAAAAACACATGCTGCGAAAAGAGTTTGTAAATGTACGGTAGGTGCATTTCTAGGCTATGTTCGGCCTCATCTACTGAGAGGGACATTGTTTCGAATTTTGAGGATTGCTGGAGCTCATCCGTCGTTTCTCGATCGATTACAAGATCGCCGAGGGGCGTGCTGTAATGCGTGCAGCCTGTTAAAGCAGCACGCCGGAGGTAGTGGTGATGGGATGGACCAAGAAGAAATACTCGTTTACTGGGATGGGTTAGGCCTTATGAAAGCTGATTGTAAGACAACTACTGACGCTTTGGAGACGTCCCAGGCCTTGTAAGCGTATGCCGCAGCCGGACCAGAATAAGCATAACCGGCATGGCTAGAGTAACTGAGTAAGAGGATGTAAGTATTTCAAAGCCACTTACGGCCCGATAATTACTCTTGCACCTGGCACCGGTAGCTGAGTGACATTCTCGCTCTGTTTATGGTCAAGGCATGGTACTACTGGCGGGTCTACCGCGGCGAGCCACTCATCCAGTTCAGCATTAAGCTGAGACTTGGATGATTTGTACCAAGAACCAGCATGGCTGGGCCTGCGAACGGTATTTGTGGGCATCGGTCAACCGGGTTTCAGTTCGCTGTGCTGCTCAACGTGCCCCACCATAATCTGCCACACTGTGGGGAAGATGAGATTAGATTGATTAAAACGCGTTTGCGACGCGTGAGTTTATTACGCGACGCGCCCTGCCAACCGAAACGAACTTCTTCTTTTCATACACCCATCTCTTTCCAGCAGCAATCACCACCGCAATTATGGGCTTCAAACGCAAACGCGACTCTTTCTCAATACCGTCAGACTCAAGCAGCCCAGCGTCATCCACATCTTCATGGCTTCACAGCGATGACTATCTCATCAGTCGCACCATGAAGCGCCATCGCGACGACCGCCCAGCTGATAACACAGTCTATGGTGCGTCCTATTTGAGCGCAGAGTACTTTCACATGAGATCTCTTGCTGATGCATGTCGCAATGCAGCCCAAACCATGCAAATACTCTACGACGCCCAACGAGAACAACCTGATCGTCATTCCGCACCGCCATCTGCCCCTCCTCCTCTACGGCGCGCAATATCCGCCATGCCAATGAGCGGCCGCGGACCAATGTATACGCATCGAAACAATACACTACATTCCTTTTGGCACATCCAGAGCGAGGCTCCTCAGAGCGGTGCATCAACCCCAATGGATCTGGACGAATCTATCAGTGGACCGCAGTGTCAAGATTGTGATCGGATGATTCCATGTGAGGGTGCTATGGATCTTGATGGCCAAGACTCGGCGTGTGGGGTATGTCAGAGGGTGGTCTGCAATCTCTGTGCGGTATCAGGCGATGTGAGGGTATGTTTGGTGTGTGTGCGGTGAATCAAGCGAACTGGTATGGTCTGAGCATGTTTGTCATTGCTCGCAATGTAGCATAGCAAAGCTGCGCTGCAAAGCGTTTCCATAATGTATACGTTCTCTTCCAACCTAATTTTTTCTCCAAGACATCTTCACACAATTAAGCAACAAGAAATCGAAAAACCGTTACACGTCGCTGAGTATATTATCCACTACCCCGCTCTACGCACATGCAATGGCCGACTGGTGTAGTGGTTATCACGTTTCGTTTACACCTCAGGAGGAATCCGAAAAGGTCGCTGGTTCGATCCCAGCGTCGGTCAATCTCTTTTGCCTTCTTTTTGTCTTTCCAAACTACAAAAACCTCAGACAAACATGTCTTCCAAGCAAAACTCCGACCACACAACCATGTCCGCCACAGACCAAAGCCCTGACCAAACAAACATGTCCACCAACCAAAACACCAACCAAAACACCAATCAATTAACCACATCAACCAAACCAACATCACCAGAACCATTCAAACCCTTCTTCACCCTAATCCGCACCCCCTCAGGTGACGACGAAGAAGAATCCCACCCTAAAGTCCAATACATTTTCTCCGACGACGACACCAACCTCCTCACCGAATCCATCCTTACATCCATCGACCCCCATCAACCCTCCAACATCGAGAACCGATCAATTTTAATAGATATTTCCCCTACGGGTGAGGTAGAGAAGTGCGTTTCCCTCGCAAAAGAGTGGCAGGTTGTAGATACGGAGGTCAGGGAGTTGACGCCTTTGGAGGGAGAGAGGGGGAGGATGGTCACGATTTTTGGGGTGGGGATGGGGAAAGAGGGGAGGGATGGTAGGGATGCTTCGCGGAGGAGGGGGACGACGACGGGAAAAGGGAGGATTGAGGGTTTGGCGAAGGAGTTTGGGGAGGGGGTGGATTTATTGGGAGTTATTCTGGGAAGGGGATAATGGGGTGGTGAAGGATGCTTCGCGGGATGCGGGAGAAAGGCTACGCGGGCTGGGGTGGGATGGGATGGGGGAGGTTAAATATGCGGGATGATGGCATGGGAGGGAGGCTACGCAAAAACGATGGACGATTTTAATCGCTACGTAAAAAGAGACGATAGGTTTGGTTGTCCGTTTCTTCCGTATATCGGTATCCGATTTCTTGGAGGAATTTTCTGAGTTCATTTTCCTGGTCAGAGGGACACTGGATTCCGGCGAGGACTTTACCCACGTCACCGCCGTAGTTTCTGTAATGGAACAGGCTGGTGTTGAGTCCGGGTTGCATTGTTGTGAGGAATTTGTGCAGAGCTCCCTGCCGTTCGGGGAATTCGAAAGCGAATAGTCTCTCGGAAGAGACTTCTGTTCGTCCTCCGACGAGATATCGGAGGTGAGATTTGACCAGTTCGTCGCTGGTTACGTCTCGTGTTTTCATCCCGTCGGATTCCAACCTTTCAATCACCTGCGCCAGATACCGGGTGCGTGTTGCTGCCGGGAGGGACAGGCCCAAGAAGACGTTGGCATGGTCAGGATGGCTATAGCGATAGCTGAACTCCGTCACTGCCAGAGGATTCACCGCCGCTATGACCTTTGCGAACGCTCCAGGACGCTCTGGAATGGTCACCGCAAGGAGAGCTTCTTTCTTCTCTCCCATCGCCGCTCGTTCGGCCACGAATCGTAGTCGGTCGAAATTCATGTTCGCACCAGAAGCTACAGCAACGAACTGACGTTTGGGATTCGGATCCGGGTTTTGCTCGACATATTTCTTCAGTCCAGCTACGGATAACGCGCCGGCAGGCTCCAAGATGGAACGTGTATCTTCGAAAACATCCTTGATAGCCGCACAAATGTCGTCTGTGTCGACTTGGATGACTTCGTCAACGACAGTAGAGCACACCCGAAAAGTCTCCCGACCAACCGTTTTGACGGCAGCCCCATCGGCGAAGAGGCCGACGTCTTTCAACGTGACCCGCTCTCCAGCCTTGAGCGATTGTACCAGGGCATTTGCATCGTAAGTTTCCACCCCAATGATCTTGACATGAGGTGCGATACGCTTCACATATGCTCCCGTGCCTGCGATGAGACCGCCTCCGCCAACACAGCAGAAGATGGCCTCAAGTCGGCTAAGATCAGCCTGACGTAGGATTTCAGCTCCGATGGTGCCCTGGCCAGCAATGACATATGGATCATCAAAAGGTGGGATGATGGTGAGATCATGTAGCTCCGCAAGACGTGCACATTCTGCTTTGGCGGCATCAAAATCTTCGCCGTGTAATACTACTGCCCCTCCCAGTCTAGAGACATTGGTGTGCTTGATTGCTGGTGTGCCTATCGGCATGGTTATCGTAGCTGGAATTCGAAGTTTCTGCGCAGAATAGGCCACGCCTTGGGCATGGTTCCCAGCCGAGCAAGCAACTACTCCCTTCCACTTCTCTTCCTTGCTCAAGTGGGCCATTTTGTTATAGGCACCTCTGAGTTTGAAGGAGAATACAGGAAGTAAGTCTTCTCGTTTGAGGAGAACATTGCACTCCAGCTTGTTGCTGAGATTGATGGCGTGCGTGACCGGTGTAGTGTCGATAACATCGTACACTTTGGCCGTCAGAATGAGCCGAAGGTACTACAAACTCAGCCCGGAACACAGCAGTACGGAGGCACTTACATCTGGGTGGCCAGTGGGCAAAAGAAAATCGGCGGGCACACCCGCATCACGACCTTCCTCAAGTTCAGATTTTTCAGCAGAGTATTCAGTCAAAGCCAGACTAGCACGCGAGGGTTTTGAAGAATGGTTGACACCGTTGGGCACTTGTTCCATTGTGTGGTCAAAAAAGTTTATGACATACCCCATGTTATTACCACGTCGCTAGGAAAATTATTAAACCGTTTGTGCATTCTGCTCGCTTCCCTTCACTTTCCACCATTCCTTTCATGTGGCCGATCTACTTAGGCACCCTCGTCATCATCACCCACTCGAATCTGTCCCTCGCTGGCAAGACCAGTGCTCCAGTAGCCATTCAGCTCAAGATTGATCTCAGGAAGACGGGCATGGCTGAACAAAAGCCAGGCACCGAAAACAGGCTTGGCTAGAATGTCCAGGATGACATAGGCGATAATCTCTTCATCAACGCTCATCTTGCGAGCTCCCTCACCAATGCCCCAGATGCTGTGTCATAGTTGTTAGCCATGTCAAGCTAAATTGTCGGACAACTTACATAGGATAGATGGCCCAGACAACCAAGGTAAAGCCGGCAATAGAAAGGAAGAAGTTGCGCGGCCTCTCACCACAAGCCAAGGCGGCAACGCGGCCATTTCCAAGGAGCTGCCAGACAATGACCAGATAGGAAATGCAGGCAATGGTGTACCAGCCCCAGCGCTGAGGAGTATCCTCACGGCCAAATGCGGCGAAAAGTCCGGTCAGGGCCATGATGAGATCAGCCACAATGGCTAGGAGGGTGTGACCACCGTCGAGGCCAGCGACCAAGCAAAGATCCAGGAGCAAGAGGGGGGTGGTAAGAGCCCAGTCAACATAGCGGGCCCAGTAGACTTGACGCACAATCTCCTTTGTAGTGTCAGGAACGCCATGCTTGTGGTGCTGCTTCTCCGTGATGTAGTGCTCGCTAACGCCATGTCCACTGGCCATGGCAAAGTAAGAGAGCGTGGCAATCGTCACAATCAGAGTGGTAATGACATGGAAAAGTCGTTTGGACTAAGAAGTTAGCTACATACTCGAGCGTGAGCATTCATCCTTACCATCGGGATGCTCCATGACACGCCAACAAAGACAATCATGGAGATGAGCATGACAACAAAGCCAACCCTGAGTTGTTAGCAGCTCGTAGCTGTAGAGCCTGTTGCACTTACCATAGAGAACGATGGCCAGCCTCGCCAGCTACTTCATACTCCGGCAGAGTGGGAACCACGGTGGGAATTGGAGCTACCGAGCTCGTGGCAACGGGCACCTTGGCCGTGGCAAAGGCTTGAACTGGATCCACGATCATTCTGGGCAGTATTCTGAGGATTAACAGGAGATGTAGAAGGAGGTGATGAGGAAAACAGAGCAGAAACAAGCTTGCGGCGGTTAAGGCGGGGACTGTCACGGGATGACGGCTGAGTGACGTCGCTCCGTTTTAGCGCGTAAACAAATCAATATGTGGGGCACAGTTACCGATTCGGACCATCAGGCTGGTTGTATGATTACCCAACTCGCACACGGATTAACTAAATACCCCGGTCTGCTTAACCAGCCGCCGTTCGGGTACCAACGGTTGACATTAGTTCCAACCAGGCTTCCCTAATGCAACAACTGATACCGTTCGCAGCCCTGCTGGGCGCTGCTTGGGGATCATGCTCTCCATACTCTCCGTACTCTCCCCAATTTGTCTATACCGGGCTGGAGAAGAGACCAGAGGATTGCCCGCCTTGTTTCAATTGCAATCTCGATGACTTTGTCTGTCTCCAATTTGCAAACTGCACCAAGAGCTCTGGAAAATGCGCGTGTCCGTCTGGATTTGGAGGAGATGATTGTGGCGAACCTCTCTGCGGCTCTCTGCCAGAGGGCAAGGATCGACTACCTCGGCAAGGCAAAGAGTGTGAATGCAAAGAAGGGTGGGATGGAATCAACTGCAACGTCTGCAATAATGACGCTGCGTGCGGTGCTATGATGCCGCCTGGGCAGACAGATGATGCCGTATGTTACCAAGGAGGGTTGGCCGTTAACGAGAACTTTCAAATGTGTGACATTACCAATCGCAAGATCCTCGACCAACTAAAAGAAAAGAAGCCTCAGGCCACGTTTAGCTGCAATTCAGAACGGAATGACTGCAATTTCCAGTTCTGGGTCGACCAAAAGGAGAGTTTTTACTGTTCGCTGGATGATTGTTCGTGGAAAGCCGAGGCAACCGAAACGTCCAATACAACAAGCTATCGTTGTGAACACATGAAATGTGCCTGTGTACCTGGACGTATGCTCTGCGGCTCTGCCAACAGCATTGATATTTCAGACTTCTTGACCGAAGAGATCAAAGGGCCAGCTACCTTTTCCACCGTCAAAACCAAGGGAAACTCAGATCGTGATGGATCACGGTTTTCTGAGCCTGCAATGAATGATTTGATTTCATCCGTGTTTGGAGACGAAAGTATCTTCCTCCGTTGCCACTCTGGCGAATGCTTGTATAAGACCGAGGTGCCTGGCTACGTTCGCCCAATCAAAAGGATCAACACTCCATTGATTGCAGGAGTCATAGCAGCTTGCGCCCTGTTCGTTGTTGCTGTTATCTTCCTGGTTTACTTTCTCAGTAGACGACGTGCAAGGAGCGGTTACGGACCA